TTATCTATTGGATGGATCAACAAATAAATGAATATTCATCAGGAGCCAGGGATACAGTCCCTCCCTTGGGGTGTCCGTCATTGCTTTGGCTCTTGCCAACATGACCTGCTTTCTGCTTAGATTTGTTAGGTAGTTAGAATAGGGGGAAAGAGTCCAAAATGGCGGTGGCCAAAAGACCTGGAAGGGAAAGCCTGCGAAAATAGAACAAAGGAAGGTCTGAGGACCTGAGTGGGAACCTCAGGTAAAACAAACAACACTGCTGGCTGGCCCAATTTACATAAGACAGGCCCAGAGACATAGAAACATGTAAAAGGGGGAGCCGAAGCCCCCCCCCGTCTCTCCTGCGCAATGGGGCGATCTTCTCTTCGCGTCTTTGGATCGATGTGCCCTCATGCCTCGAAGATGGATTTTCCTGCTATTATCTAAATAAAATAGAGCTGTAACACTGATTTATCTAAGAGCTATAACACGGTCTGTCCTCCGAGAACTGTGACCCGCCGAGGGGCTTTAATGTCCGTCACTCCAAATTTTTGTTGTGACGAGACCAAGAACCGGGGAGCATACACTCACCTGCCATCTCTGGGGCCGTGACTCGGGCTTAACCTGGCTGAGACACCCTCCGCGCAGAAGGAGCCCAGCTCAGCGAAGCTCCCGCGGTAGAAGCGGAACGCGAGGAAAAGCCAGCGCAGCGGAAGGCCCATCGTGCTGGAAACCGGGGCAGCGAAAAAAGAACTCAGCAGAAAGCCCACGCGGCTCAGCCGCAGATTCCAGCAGACCTCCGGTTAAGGTAGGAGTCCTCGCTCCTATGGCTGGAGGGACATGCCTAACAAAATCTTAACTCCTTTACAGTCTCTCGTTTCTTGTTTCCTCGAACCCCCCGCGAACAGGCGGGCGGCAGTGGGCGCAACTGAGGGACTCTGGAGAGGCCACCCTTCGGTATGTCCCAAAGGCGCTATCTGCTGAGCCCCAGTAGCGGTTACCCAAGCCGGTGGGGGTTCTTCTGTCCCTACTCTTCTCTGTTCCAAGAATCAGGCCAATGAAAACTGAGCACCGGTCAGATATCTAGCAAATTTTCCAGTAGGCTATGAAGGGGATTCCTTGGTACATCTTTCCCACTGCTTTTCCCTCTTTTCCTTCCGCTCTTTCTCCCGGAACGTGAGCCCGACCAAAACCCAGGATACCCGGCCCAGGCTCTGAGGTCTTATTGCAAAAATTCAGTGAGAGACAAAGCAATAAGTGGGAGGTAGATTTGCTAGGATTCAGAGAGAAGGGCCCAATTCTCAGGAGGCCATCACGCCTCGACCTGCCCAGGGATTCGATCTCTCGGAGGCTGTCACGCCTCAGCCTGCCTGGAGATCTGTATCCTGACCCGGAGGCACCTGGCTCTCAGGTTGCCGCAGTACTGGGTAGGATAAGCTTCAAAGAGCCTATTAGTTTTTTTCTTTTCCTCCCTAACATGACTTTTTTCAGATGGGAAATAACCAATCCACTTCCCGGCAGACACCCTTGAGATGCATCCTTGATAACTGGAAGCTATTTGATCCTCTAACTCTGAGGAGGAGTCGTTTAAAATTCTTTTGTGCCACTGCGTGGCCACGGTATCCACTGGGGGACGAGGAACACTGGCCCGAGGATGGGACTTTAAATTACAATACCATCCTGCAATTAGAATTATTCTGCAAAAGACAAGGGAAATGGACAGAGATCCCCTATGTCAAAATTTTCTTCAGACTGAGAGATATGAAGGAACTCTGTCTTANAGGAGGTTGTCCTCTGATCGGGTACAAGGAATCCTGGAGGTGCTATCCCCCATGACTCGAAAACAACTGTGAGTTTTCCTGGGGCTAACTGGGTATTGTAAAATCTGGATACAAAACTGTGGTTTCATTGCCCAGCCCTTATATGAAAGCTTGAAAGGATGGGATGATTCAGTCCCTCTGATGTGGGGAACTCCTCAAAAGAAGGCAGCAGTTACACTATAGCAGCTACACTAAAACAAACCTTAACTCAAGCACCTAGCTTGAGTTGCCAGGCCCAGAAAAAGCATTCCAACTTTATGTCCATGAAAGAGAAGGAATAGCCTTGGGAGTGTTAACTCAAAGGTTGGGATCTAAGACGCAGCCTGTAGCTTACTTATCCAAGAGGCTTGACCCAACCGCCCAAGGCTGCCCTCCCTGCCTTCGAAATCTTGCCACTATTGCAATCTTGATAGAAGATGCTTTAAAACTACCTTTTGGGGGCAAACTAACTATTTTTGCCAGCCACCAAGTGAAACAACTCCTAAATGGGAGAGGTCACTTATGGATGTCTGATCAAAGAATCCTCAGATATCAAGTAGTGCTAATGGAAAACCCAGGCCTCACTATACCCCCTTGTGAGGTTCTTAACCCAGCAACCATCCTGCCTAACACCGAGGACTCTCTCCCCTTTCACTCTTGCCTAGAAACCTTGGACCACTTGACAAAATTCCGAGAGGGATTGTTGGAAGATCCTCTGACCAACCCTGAGGAAATCTGTTAGACTGATGGAAGCAGCTTTGTCTCAGATGGAAAAAAAAGAGCCAGAAATGCAGTAGTCTCCAATTTTGAGATCATAGAGGCTAAACCTTTGCCACCAGGTACTTCAGCCAAATTTGCTGAGCTCATAGCCCTGACTAGGGCTTTAGAGATGGGAAAAGGAAAAAGAGTAGCCATTTACACTGATTCCAAGTATGCCTTTCTGGTGCTACATGAACATGCTGCTATTTGGAGAGAAAGAGGCCACTTGACCACCCGAGTGTCCCCAGTCAAATATGGTGATCAAATCCTTGGACTCCTGGAGACAGTCCATCTTCCCACTGAGGTTTCAGTCTCCCACTGTAAAGGACACCAAAAACAGAGCATGGAAGTGGCATGAGGGAACCAAGCAGCTGATCAGACAGCTAAGAGAGCAGCATTACCGAACAATAACCTAATAGGGGTTGCCACCTTAGTTCCACAGACTAATTTGCCAGAAACTCCTTCATATACTGAAGGTGAGACTCTTAAAACTAAGAATGAGGGCTTTCAAGATTATATGGGGTGGTTCCAAAAGGAGGGACTCCTTTTTTCCCTGGAAAGCTCCAATGGAATTTGGTTAACTCCTTACATGCCACCACTCATGTAAGGGAGAAGGCCCTCCAAAGATTACTAGAAAGGTCCTTCAGAGGATCAGGCCTCTAAATAACCATAAGGCAAGTGGTCTCCTCTTGTCCCTCTTGCCAATTGAACAACCCCCAAGGAGCTTGAAGATCCCAGCTGTCCCAGCCTGGGACCTATCCAGGAGAGGACTGGCAGATAGACTTCACTCAAATGCCAGTTTCTCAAGGGTATAAATACCTATTAGTCACAATAGACACATTCACAGGATGGATTGAAGGCTTTCCCACCTGGACTGAGAAGGCTGAGAAGGTGGTAAAGAAAAATGCTCCATGAAATCTTTCCAAGATATGGTCTGCCCAGGTCATTACAAAGTGACAATGGGGCACCATTTACTTATAAGGGGTCTCTAAAGCATTGGGCATTACTTATTATCTCCATTGTGCCTGGAGGCCTCAGTCTTCAGAAAAAGTAGAAAGAGCCAACCAATTCTTAAAATCAGCAATAAAAAAAGATAACCCAGGAGACCTCCCTGGGATGGAAGGAGGCTTTACCAATAGCTCTCCTCCACACCTGTATTGCCCCTAAGGAACAGGTTGGTCTTAGTCCTTATGAGATGCTCTATGGGAGACCTTTTGTTTATGTCAATGACCTCTTCCTAGATCCAGAGGTTCAGACCCTCCAGTCTTATACCATGGCCGTTGGGCATTTCCAACAGGATATACGCTTGTGAGGTATGAACCAGGACCCAAAAGACTCTAAGGACTCGCCACTATATGCTCCAGGGACTCAAGTCCTAATTAAACTCTAGAAAGATGGGTCCCCAAAGGCTAAACTCCAGCCCACATGGAAGGGCCCCTACCCTGTAATACTGTCTACTCCCACAGCGGTCAAGGTGCCAGGACATGACTCCTGGATTCACTACTCATGAGTCAAGCTGTGGAAGAAAACAGAAGAGGACACTCAATACACCTGTGAGCCCCTGGGAGATCTCAGATACCTATTCAAAACTACAAATGAGTGCCCTTCTAATAAACAACCCCAAAATCTGGTCTCTGGGGATAAGATTTCTCAAGACAGCTCTAAAGAGCCAACACAGCTTGGCAGAAATAGTACTCCAAAACAGACAGGAGATCTTCTGATCCCTGAACAGGAGAGACTTGATCCATCCTGGTGATGTAAATTTAAAATTGGCTAATGCCCCTACTAGTCCTTGTTTTGCCATACTGATGCTGCTAATGATTGTTCCATGTACTGTCAATTGTGTAACCTGTCTTGTCTCTGCCCAGGTCAAGCTACGACATGCAGCGCCAGTTCAACAAAGATATAAAACTACAGCCAACCACGGAAAATATCAGTCACCCTTAGATGGACACCGCTATAAGGACTCTGAGGCCTGAGACTAGCAAGAGGGGGAGGCCCAATGCCCTTCGCCGTCCCAGTTCAGCAGGAAGTAGCCAGAGAGACCTCGACGCCCCTATTTCCAAAGAATTGGGCTTCCCATCTCTTGAGGGGGGAATGTTAGGTAGTTAGAATAGGGAAAAGGAGTCCACAATGGTGGTGGCTAAAAGACCTGGAAGGGAAAGCCTGCGAAAATAGAACAAAGGAAGGTCTGAGGACCTGAGTGAGAACCTCAGGTAAAACAAACAACACTCCTGGCTGGCCCAATTTACATAAGACAGGCCCAGAGACATAGCAACATGTAAAAAGGGGAGCCGAAGCCCTCTCTCTCTCTCTCTCTCTCTCCTGCGCGATGGGGCGATCTTCTCTTCGCGTCTTTGGATCAACGTGCCCTCATGCCTCGAAGATGGATTTTCCTGCTATTATCTAAATAAATAGAGCTGTAACACTGAGTTGTCACACTGATTTATTTAAGAGCTATAACACGGGCTGTCCTCTGAGAGCTGCAACCCGCCGAGGGGGCTTCAATGTCCGTCACTCCAAATTTTTGTTGTGACGAGACAAAGAACCGAGGAGCATACACTCGCGTGACAGATTATAATTAGTTGTTACATACAAGGTCATCTGCCCCAACTAGACCACAGTCTTCTGGAAAGCCAGTGTCCTGGCCTGGAGCCCTGTACTCACAGGATATACTCAACAAATGATTTTGAGAGGAGGGAAGGAAGGCGGGGGGAGGCTCATGTCTCCTGCTTGCCACATAGCCACCCTCAAAGCACTGGCACAGCCGGTTGCTTGGCTGAGCAGGGAAGGGTATGGACCCCACCCCAACACTGCACCTCCTGGTTACAAGGACAAAGTGTCCGTTACCTTATGACGGAGGTGGAGGTCTCAGTCTCGCCTGCGGCCTGAGCGGTCTCCAGACACAGGGCCCCCAGGCTGGCCCGGCTGCCCTTCCGAGAAGATTGCTGGAACAAGCCAGCAGCGGCGTCCTCGTCAGAGGAGTTATCGTCGAAGGATCCCAGGATGAAGTCGGTCATCAGCTGTCTCCTGATGTGTGCCTGCTTCCTGTCTTCTCTGCAGAGGGCTCTGGCTCGCTGGCCCTGGGGCCTGGCTGGCGTGGGCAGGCCACTGGTGTTCGGGAGCTCCAGGCCTTCGGTCCCCGACCCGCTGGCTTGGCATGCTGGGGAGGCGTATTCAGACGAGAGGGGGTTTCCTTGGGGATCCTGCGGCGGGGGCGATTGGGAGTTTCTCTGCTGGCAGGTGTCTTGGGGTCCTTTGTGGGAGGCCGGCTCAGCCTGGCTAGGGGTCTCTGGCAGAGGGTTGCTGTTGCAGTCTTCCTGTGGCGGCTCCTGGGAGCTGACTGAGGCTGGAATCGGCTCCTGACTGGGGCTGAAGCTCACTTTCCGTTTACTCTTGGTGACTTGCTTGGAGTCTGACATTTTCCCCCAGCTTTTTAATCGGGAAAGGGTCAGGCAGGAGAAAATCAGACAATATAGAAAAAGAAGCAGAATCATTCAGAAAATCTGTAAGGAGAACAAGAGAGACATTTTAGGATCTATGTAATCGTGTTACCTGGCTTCTTAAAGGAGCTGGTGGTGAAAGCCAGCTAGGGTGCTGTATATTTGGCAGAGAGAGCTAGAAAGGAGAAGCACTAGACGGAGCGGAGAAGGGGCTCCCCTCCCCCAGCTCTGCCCATCATGAGCTCTGGGGTCTGCGGCATGTTTCTTAACTTCTAATTCAGAGAAGTTTATGTTTACCATGAAGCATGAACATGCATGTGAGAAAGGACTCAACAAGATTAGGTGCATTAAAAGACTGTTACAGCATCACTGGGCTTCCCAGGTGGTGAAGAATCTGCCTGCAATGCAAGAGACCTGGGTTCCATCCCTGAGTCAGGAAGATCCCCTGGAAAAGGGAATGGCAACCCACTCCAGTATTCTTGCCTGGAGAATCCCACGGACAGAGGTGCCTGGCGGGCTAAAATCCGTGGTGTCACAAAGAGTTGGACACAGCTGAGCGAGTAACACTTTCACTTTTCACTCCTAGCACCATTATTTATAATATCCCCAAAGCTGAAACGTCCCAAGTGCCCACTGATAAAAGCACAGACAAGATGTGGTCTGTCCATACAATGGAATATTGTTCAGCCACCAAAAGGAATTAACTTTATGCTAAGTGAAAAAACCAGTTCCGACAGACCACATATTGTATGATTCCATATTACATAGACAATACACTTGAATTAGGCAGAATTAATAGACATGGAAAGATTAGCAGTTGCCTGGGGCTAATGGGGTGGGGATGAAGGTTAATGGGTAAAGGGTTTCTGACTGGAGTGATGAAAATGTTCCAAAATTGATTGTGGTGATGGTTTCACAACTCTGTGAATAGACTGAAACCTGCAGAATTGTGCACTTTACGTGAGTGAGTGAGTCATATGGTACATGAATTATACCTCAATAAAGCTTTTCTTCTTTTAAAAAAAAAGGGGGACTTCCTTGGTGGTCCAGTACTTAAGAACGTGCCTTCCATTGTAAGGGACACAGGTTCAGTCGCTGGTTGAGACACTAAAATCCCAACACCTCTAAGCATGTGGGTGACTAAGCACGCACACCACAACTACCAAGCCCACAAGCCACAACTAGGTAAAAACCCACGTGCTGGAACTAAGATCTAACAAACCAAATAGATAAGCACTTAAAAAGGAAAAAAGGACGTCAGGGGCTTCCCTGGTGGCTCAGTGGTAAAGAATCCACCTGATGCAGGAGACACAGATTCCGTCCCCAATCCGCGAAGATCCCACATGCCGAGGAGCAATGGAGCTCTTGCACACAACTGCTGAAGTCCATGTGCCTAGGGCCCATGTTCCACAACAAGGGAAGCCACAGCAATGAGAAGCCCGGAGCACTGCAATTAGAGAATAGCCCCCTGGTCGGGCAGCTAGAGAAAGCCCTCGAGCAGCAACGAAGACTCAGCATGGCCAAAAACGAATAAGTCAATATTTTTTTTTGAAAGACTTTATTATATTCCAATTTATAGATGAAAGGGATTGTTGGCTTCTGGAATCATCAGGAATTGCTGAAATGTGGTTTGGGTTATTTTCTAGGTAACACACAGGGTCAGAAGATGTTTTTCTTTTCATGTGCTCAAGTTTCCTTTTAAAGAAAAGTCAGTTAAGGGTTGTCCAATGTTAATCAATGTAACAAACCACTTTAATAGAACAAAGGGGAAAAAAATGATCATCTCAATGAACATAGGAAAATCCAACACCGCTGGGAATTCCCGGTGGTTAGAACTTCCAGCTTTCACTGCCAAGGGCCCAGGTTCAGTCCCTGGTTGGGGGAACTAAGATCCCAGAAGCCAAATGGCATGCAAAAAAAAAAAAGATCCAATACCTTCTAATGATGACAACATTCAGAAAAGCAGGAATAGAAAAGAACTTCAACAGAGTAAGGCACACTGATGAAAAAAGTACAGCAAATATATATTCAGTGTTGACAGATGGTAAGCTTTCCCTAAGATCTGGAACAACACAGGATGCTCACTTTCACCACTGCTGTTCAACATCCTACTGAAAGTTCTAGCCAGAGCAACTGAACAGGACAAAGAAATAAAAGGCATCCTAATTGAAAAGGGAGACATAAAATCACCTCTGTCCACAGATGACATGAGCCTATATACAGAAAATCCTGAAGAACTACCAAGAAATGCTAATAAAGGTAGTAAATTAAGTGATTGTTGGATATAAGATCAATAGACAAAAATCAGTTTTGTTTCTATACACCAACAATTAACAATCTGAAAAGGGAATTAAGAAAATAACTCCATTTACAAAATCACATTCCAAAGAATTAAAATACCTAGGAATAAGTTTAATCACAATGGTGAAAGACCTATAGACTGAAAACTAGAGACATTGCTGAAAGAAATTAAAGAAGACCTAAATAAATGGCAAGACATCCCATGCTCATGGGTTGGAAGACTTACTTTTGTTAAGATGATCACACTACCCAAAGCAATCTGCCGATTCATGTGGAATGGTAAGGGCCCCAAAGAGCCAAAACAATCTTAAAAAAGCAAAACAAAGTTGGAGGACTCACACTTGTCAATTTTGAAACTTACTACAAAACTGTAGTGTGGTATGAGAATAAAGAGATATATAGACAAATGGAATAGAACTGAGGGTCCAACAGTAAACCTATACATCTATGACCAGTTGATATTTGACAAAGGTATTAAGACCATTCGGGCTTCCCTGCTGGCTCAGATGATAAAGAATATGCCTGCCATGTGGGAGACCCGGGTTCGATCCCTGGCTTGGGAAGATCCCCTGGACAAGGGAAAGGCTACCCACTCCAGTATTCTGGCCTGGAGAATTCCATGGACTGTATAGTCTACGGAGCCACAAAGAGTCAGACACGCCTGAGCAACTTACTTCACTTCACTTCACTTCACTTTGGGGAAGATCCCCTGCAGAAGGAAAAGGCAAGAGTCTCTTCATCGTATGGGTTTGGGAGAGATGGCTTGAATAGGCTGCAATTTTGACTTGCGGATGTCATTTCTGAAGCTGCATTCAGGAACACCAGCTGGTGTCTCCATGGCAGCTCTGAAGAAGAGTTCCAAGCAGAAGACTTTGTACAAACATGGCTGATTTTAGGTACACTTTAAATGTACACACTGTGGGGACTTCCCTGGGGGGTCCGGTGGTTAAGACTCCATGCTCCCCATGCAGGGAGCCGGGGTTCGATCCCCGGTCAGGGAACAACTGCCACAACTAAAGGTGCATGTGCTGCAACTACAAAGACCCGGCACAGCCGAATACCTAAATATTTTTTAAAAATAAATGTACACGTTGGAGATTCTGAGAAATAAGAAATTTTAAGTGTATTACATGGAAATGCTGAGCTGCCCACGACTCTAAATAGAAAAACACTTGCGTTATTGCTGAGAAAATAAAAGAGCAAAAACATGCTGTAATGCTTAGAGGTTTCGGAACCCTGAGGATGCAGTCTTCACATTGATTCCCACTGGCAAACCAGTCACTCTCTGGTTTTACATGACACGAGCACCCTGATAACTTGCTGGCTGGGTGAATGGATGGCGGATGGGGGCTGCAGGTGGAAGGACGGAGAGGTGGTGCGTGGAGTGGGGTCAAGTGGATGGGCAGGCGGCCAAGATGGTGAGAAACATGCACGGTAAACAATTGAGGAGTGGTGGGGAAAGCTGCCAGGCTCTAAACTGGGCACTGTAAAGAATGGAAGGGATCAGCAATTCTCCCCACTTTGACCTCCTTTCTCACTTTAAGATCTGCTGTTATTCTGATAGGGGCCAGTGGACCTGACATCCCAAACCTACCTTGCAGAGGCTACCTGCACAAAAATCCTCAGAGTCTTTCCCTATACTCTTTTGTTTGTTTGTTTGTTTTTTAAATTTGGCTGCACTGGGTCTGAGTTGCAGCACAGGGGACCTTTCCGTTGTGGCGTGTGGGATCTTTAGATGCAGCATGTGAACTTTTAGTTGCAGCATGTGGGATCTAGTTCCCTGACCAGGGATCGAACCCTAACCCCCTGCATTAGGAGTACAGAGTCTTAGCCCCTGGACCAACCGGGAAATCCCTGTGTTCCCTACTCTTGCCAGTGTGATGACTGGGGGGAAGGGAGTGGCCCACAGGCCACCATATGAGCACTTTTCACAAGTACATAGAGACACACGCAGAACTCTCTGAGAAAGCTCCTCTGAGCCTCAGTTTTCTCATCTGTAAAATGGGGATACCAATTCTTGCCCCATTTACAGGCCTCACCATTGCTCTTTGAATAACCTAGATAGCATTTGTGCAAATGCTATCAGAGGCATCAAGGAGCCATCAAGCATGTACAGTGCCTTCAAGTTTCCAATCCTCAGGACAACCTGGTGTCCCGCACGACTGCTACAGTCTCTATTTCAGCCCCATTTTACAAGTCGATAAACTGTGGCTCAGAGTTCAGTTCCTTGACTCTGCTTATACCCAGGCCCCATGCCGGTACCTTTCCCACTGCACCACCATCAAAACTGGATATAAGTAAATTCCATAAAGTGGAGGGTGTTCCCCTGAACACCTGGATACGATCCTAAAGTCAGATCCCCAGTTGTGAACCTGGAGGGTGGACCCAGGTGTGCACAGCCATCTAGAAGGAGCACTGTGCATGTGGTTCAGACCCACGGGCAGTCAAGGCCAGCAATGTCCTTCCCGTGAACCCTGGCAGACAGGCCACGCTGAGCTGCTGCCCTTCACTGAAGCAACCAGGCCGACCCGAAAACCCAGCGAGGGCCGAAGCTATTTTTGTTTCTTGCAAACTGAACACAAGCAACAGCTGCTTGGTGCCAGGACGATCATAGCCTTGACCGTAACGCAGGCAGAAAACCGCTCACTTCCAACAGGTGCTGGCTGGCACCCAGACAGGTCTGGAGAGGGAGACGGGTCTGGGGTTTGTTTTCCAGCTCTCCCCTGCCTCCCCTGCCGCAGCACGCCCAACTATACCTGGCT